GTGTGAATTTCGTAGTGGATCATTGTCTCAAAAACAAACAAGCAAACAGACAAAGACAAACAGACAAAGATAGGATATATCTCAAGGGTTAGCGCCCTTGCCTAGCAGGCACACATGGATTCAATCTCCAGTAGTGGAAAAAAATATCATGAGATTTCAGCAAAAAGAAGCTTCCTCTGACTGAATATTAATTAGCCTGATAGCTCCAGAATGTGATTGAAAGATCTTAACAAGTAGAGGTAAAATCATGAAAACAAACAAACAAACAAAACCAGCAAATCAATAATATGCTTTCCCCACTGTTTCCCCAAGGGCGGTGGCCTTAACTGTATATGTCTTGCTCTTCAACTTTTACCTGACTATAGTTCTTAAAATAGGCTCAGGCAGACAGTTGCCTATTGGGCTCTTTTTGTGTCGAGTAATTAACCACACTTTCTATTCGGAGTCCTCTTAGCCACTTCAGGACCTTTGGAACGTGACTTCTGGGTCTAGGATGTGTGGGACCAAGGTCTTCTGTTGCCTAACAGGTCTCCTTCCGTGTGTTTGTGTGTTTGGTTTAGTAGTGTGAGAGCTTGCAGAAGAGGAATAAATAGACAAGTCTTAGTTCTGGGAACGCACTTCAGTGACAGCGTACTCATCCAGCTTGTTTAAGGCACTAGGTTCAATCTTCACCACTCAGAAATACAAAATAAAATCCACCTCTTCATCTAAATATCTAGGGTGACGCCCATGTAATTAATCTCCCATGTAAGTGAAACTGCCACACAATTCATCACTATTGAGATTCAAGTTAGATCCTATATATTCCCATGACAAGGGCTGGCACCAGAGTGGCTCTCTTAGCTCCGTTACTGCGTAGGTTTGCTGGCATCTCTGGAGCCTGGGCAGTCTCTTACTTGTGACTTTCAATCGCCATTACTACACTATGTATGCCTTTTTGGCCTGCTTTGCAACTCTGTATCTCAAACTTTTGTTTCCTCAACTTCAACTTTGGACCCTGCCAGCAGGGAGGGATTTCTTTTTCTTATCTTTTCAGAATTGGAAACCTTGTTAGAAAAACAATACTGACCCTTCAGTTTTCTTTCTATCACACAGAGAAACCTTTTTCTCGAAAAACAAAACAAAAAAAAAGAAAAGAAAGAAGTAAAAATAAAAAAGAAAGAAAAATAAAAAAAATTCGTTACTTTATTGTAACCAGTCTCCTATATAAAATTTGATTTGAAAGTAATTAGGTGGCTGCAAACAAAGGCTTATCCAGGATGGATGAAAAGGGCAATGTTCAACCATGCACCCACCGAAAGAAATAAAAATCCACTTGATAAACATCATATTCAATGGATGATTTATCTACTTGCAGAGAATTCTTTCAATGTAATTCATTAAATTTTTTCTTCTTTACACTTTAGCCTCCAGAATAATATCATCAACAACAATTACCATTCTTTCAGCAATTATTCACTTACTTTGCACAACAAAATTGGTGAATCACTAAGTATGCCAAGTAGACATATGGATTTCACAAGTTAATATTGCTAAGGAAAGCATCACAAACTAATACTCTTAAAATATTGTAAAAATAACTCAATGGTAGTAAAAAAAATAAGGAGTCAATTTTATCGGCAATTTGGCAGGCTCTGTGAATTCTTATTATGGTAACCATATTCTGTTAACAATCCTATTTCACTATGGGCACACGAAACATAGGCAAGAAATTGACTTGGAGGTATACATCATTACTTTAGCAGACGGAATCTGATCCCAGATTCGTCTGATATCCCAGCTCATGCTTCTATTCCGCATCCTTTCAGTCAGTATCATCAACATGGCAGTCTGTATGATGTTAAATCATGCAAAATTTGGCCTAAAGATGGCTCTATACTAGACCAATTACACAAGAAACTGCAAGGTAACTTAAAGGAAAAAGTTAAATGAAAGCCTAACGTTGGCGTATACTTCCTAACAAACAGCTGCATCTCAACTGTGCACAGCATTCCGCCTGCAGTTGGTAGCTGCGGAGGAAGTGTTCTAACCCTGTGTTCCCATTTGTGCTTTGTTGCTGTGGCAAAATATCATGACTCAAAGCATTTCGTGGGAGTAATTGGTTTATTTGACTCACAGGTTATCACCTACCACTGAGCTGAGCTAAGGCAAGAACTGAAGGTGAGACCACGGAGGAGTGCTGTTTACTGACCTGCATTCCTTGATTTTCTCATCTGCTTTCTTATGGAACGTAGGACTGCCTGCCCAGCGGTAACACTGCTCACAACTGGCTGTTAGTTCCGTGGACACCAATCATTAAACAAGAAAAGGACCACAGGTTTGCCTACAGTTCAGTTTGATGGAACCAATTCTTAAATCGAGGGTCTCTCTTTCCAGGTGATTCTGGTTTGTTTGTATCAACTTGATAAAAAAAAAATCACCAGGGCACTATGCTTAAAAAACAAAACAGAACAAAACAAGCACTAAGCTGTAATCAATCAAGCTGTCTCTCTACCTCAGCTCTCTTTCCTGTACAATTCCATTTTCTGTCCAAAACATGAGGCATGCCATGTTGAGGAACAGCATCTTTGAACCTGCTCTGGCTATGGGCTTTCTGGTTTGGGAATCATTCATTGTTCAAATTGATCAGTTTGTCTAAATTTTTTTTTGGAGACAGGGTTTCTCTGTAACTTTGGAGCTTGTCCTGGAACTCACTTTGTAGACCAGGCTGGCCCCAAACTCATGGAGATCCGCCTGCCTCTGCCTCCCAAGTGCCGGCATTAAAGGTGTGTGCCACCACTACCTGGCAAAACTATTCTGTTTTTAAAAAGAAAGTGTGTGTGTGAGAGAGAGAGTTCAGAAATCGCTAGCATTGCTTCAAAAAGCAATTACTTGCTATGCTTTTGCAATTTGACATATTGGAGCTATGTGCTAACATCTCCAAAGTCACAATTTTATAAGTGATATATAGCTTCGAATCCTTAACACACCAAGCATTCACACGTTACTTCTCCAGTATCCCACATCATTTATCACAGGAGGAGAAAGTACAGACATTTGAGGCCCAAACTAGAGGCAACTTCTTGCTCTCATAAGGAACAGTTATTAAATTGTAAATAACAATGCTATGTTTCTAAAAATCTATCGTCTAGCTGTGATCTTTTTTTTTCATCCCTGGGCCTGTTTTGGCTGCAGAGTGAGACTTTATCTCAAAACAAGCAAATAACCAAAAACCTAAAAGCAGTGATTTCAATGTGGAAGAAACAGTTGCACTCAGGACGAGTTTCAGTTTAATTGCTTCACCATCCATTCTTTGCTTATTTATGATATTTTTGAAACATTCACATCAGAGTAGGAGGTTTGGGGAATAACTGAAGAATTTTCTATTCTTCAGTCCATTATTTATAGAGTAGTTTGAAAGGTTTGGAGAGGAAAGCAAGAAATTAAAATGGCTCTTTTTCTTGAGGACTATGGACTCAAAGACATCTCATATAACACCAGCACTTGGAAGGTAGAGGGAGGAGGCAGAGGCAGGAAAGAACACCCCAAGTTTGAGGCCATCCTGTTTGATATAGTGAGTTCCAGGCCAGCCAGGACTACATAGTGAGACCCTTTCACACACACACACACACACACACACACAAAATCCTATAAAACAATGACTTCTCACTGAAGGAACTATCCCAGGTCAGTTTTAAAGCATTAGCTGTATTCAGCAAGAGTCCCTCACTCTTAAAATAAAATATCAAAACAGACTAATGCAGTCTGTTTCAAAAGAGCCATTCAAAACCCAGAGAATATATTTTCTGTGTGATACACACAGGTTAACATAAACAAGCTTTTTTTTTTCATTCTGCAGAATGAAGCATTTCTTTCAAAGCTGGAAAGTCACCAGCCTTAGTAGTGCAGGCCTGTAACCTTAGCTACAAGGGAGGCTGACAAAGGAGGTTTGAAAATTCAAGTGTCTCTCCAACAACATACACAGGCACTGTTGTCCTCGTTTTTTAAAAATTTACAAAGTGTGTGTGGTGGCAGAGGGTGGAGCGGCCTGGGAATACAGCTCAGAAGAGAGCTAGCTTGTCCAGCAATTATGAGGCTAGAGGATTTATCCCCAGCATTCCAAAAAAGAAGTGACCCTTGGAATTTTGAATTTTCTGAAGCATGCTGATTTTATTTACGGAAATAAAGAGAAGTATGTACAATCTAGCCCACTCCCCACTTCAGGTTGTCTGTGGGAAGAGGTCCTGGGGAAAACGGTTTACTATGGTGGAAAGGAATCTCAAAGAAGGCTAAAGCCAAGACCTGGCTATGGTGGGAGAGAGAGATGGAGGATGGTGCAGACTCTCCCTGGAAACAGGGAAGGGAGAAGTCCAACCTCCCGACGGTGATGCCACTTGTGGGTCCTCAGATTGGCGAGGATCTGGATGAGTGACTGGTGGGGCCTGAGGTGCTAGCTCGCAGCAGGGAGGTGGGGGCGGAGCCTCCTGTCGAACTGGCCTCCTGAGCTGGGGAGCAAGCTTGGCTGTGACGCAGGGCCCTCACGTGACCCAGGGCTGCAGAAAGACGCAGCCTTGGGTGCAGTCGTCACTCACGTCTGGACACCAGCTCCATGCTTCCCTGCGCACGGCGGGCTGGCATCGGGCCCTGGGCGAGCGGAGCAGGTAAGGGGCCCGCATGCAGCGGCCCTGAGGGCGACAGCCTCCGGGTGCAAGGGAGCGCACCAGAGGACCATGCAGCGGCACCGCGGCTTTCTGCACTGCAAAGAGAACCGTGGCTGAGCCCGGGAAGGGGCGCCCCTGGTTGCAGGCGGGGATGGCGGGGGTCTCGGGGAAGGGCCAGCTAGGCCGACTGGCCTAGGAGAGTGCTAGATCTAGCCCTGGAGAGCTGAGAAGGCAAAGGGTCGGTGGAGATCGTGGGCCAACAGGTAGGGGGATGGGCGGGGGCGGGGTCTCTGTGCTGAGTCGCTCCCTTCCCACCCTGTCTGCAGGTCTGCTACCCGAGAGTCGCAGCGGCGCATCTGACAGCGACAATTGAGAGGAGGTCTACGCGGCAAGGGATAGGCCCAGGTCGGTTCAGGGGCTGCGTGTGTGTGTGTGTGTGTGTGTGTGTGTGTGTGTGTGTGTGTGTGTGTGTGTCTAGGGGGGCGGCAGGAGGAGCGTGCGGGAAGCCCTGTCTGCGACCCCAATGAGGGCCCCCACCCCACCCTATTCTCCATCTCAGTCCTCCATTTTGGTGCCTGCAGAGCTTAGGGAAAGGATCCTGGGAAATAAAAAATGGTGGGCTTTGGAGGAGGGAGGGAAAAGAGAGCTGGGGGAGGGGCTCAAAATGGAGGCTCCCTTGAGGTTGCCTGGAGACTCTAAGGTGGCTAAAATAATAATGAAAACTTTTGTTGTTAGTCTCGGAATATTGGTGGTCAGTGCACCAAGCATTCAGTTTCTTTCCTTGCTCTGTCTTACTTGTGTTCAAAGAATAACAACCAGAAAACAAAATCTCACCATGGCAAATATCCACCAGGAAAACGAAGAAATGGAGCAGCACCTGCAGAATGGACAGGAAGACCGCCCTTTGGGAGGAGGTGACGGCCACCAGCCTGCTGCCAACAACCACAACCGAAGAGGACAGGCTCGCCGACTTGCCCCTAACTTTCGATGGGCCATACCCAATAGGCAGATTAATGATGGGTTGGGTGGAGATGGAGATGATACGGAAATGTTCATGGAGGAGATGAGAGAAATCAGGAGAAAACTTAGGGAGCTACAGTTGAGAAATTGTCTGCGAATTCTGATGGGGGAGCTCTCAAATCATCATGATCATCATGATGAATTCTGCCTTATGCCTTGACTTCGGCCCTGTTCCGTGAGATCATACTGTGATTCCCGCTGGATTCCTTTTCCTTGCATTCTCCTGACATGCCTTTACTGATCTGTTTGTGGTGAGCCTTGTACTATTTCTATGTACCAGGTGGTCTTGTGCTGCCAGTCTCTAACTGGAGATTGCCTTCCCACTCAGTGTAAGTTTCTGTCAACAGTACACTGTTGCCCATTTGCATGGAAAAAATGTAAAGTAAATAAAGCATCTGAAAAGCAACCTGACTATTCTTTATTGTCTCCTTAAAGCATATAGAAATACTTACATAAAAAAAAGAACCACAAAAAGTCTGAAATTCAAAAGTATTGGGGGCGGTCACATGTATATAATTTTCTTTTTATGTGAAGTTTCATAAACTTTTTCAATGTTTTTATTAATGTACTGCAGCTATTTATAATTATTTGCTCAACAAACTTAAAGCGTATATCCCCTTACAAATACAATTTCTTAAAATTGTCTTTAGTTTCTTCTGTGAAGGAAGGGTCCATGGAGTCTTACACAGGCTGTGGAATGGACCAGGTCAGGTGTGGGACTCTGTTGGTTTAGGTTTTTCCCTACTTGTCAGCATTCAATAAGGCCAGGCCTCCAACCCTCACTAAGTAGTTGGGTGAACTGAGGGGTAGCCTCAGTTCTCGCCCATTCTCCCAATTCCATACAGGAAAAAAGAGGTGGGCTCCTCCATGTCATTTGTCGCTATCCCACTTCTCTGATTAAGGTAGGTAGCTTGAGCATACATCCCCTTCCGACTCCTGCTTTCTGTACCTAGGAATGACATAGCTAAACCTCATTGTGACAGTGTGGAAAATGCCTTTAGAACTTGACACATTTATCCAGGTGAGTATAATCCCCATGGTTCTTGGCTCTTAAAAATATAGCTCTTTCTGCATTTATTTTGTGCCCCCAATCAAAAGACTCTGGCAAGGGTTCACTGGAGCCTGGCACAATAGGTAACAGATGCCTTTCAGGGTTATGCCCAGAACTGCATAACTAAACATCCAGAACACAAATAGGCTGGCAGCATTAAGGTGTTTCTACCCTGGGGTGGATTACTCTAAAGCAGCCTATCAGCAGTCCTGCCTACCCGGTTTCCTAGACTTACCCGAAACATCAGTTTCACTGGGGAACAGGCATTCTCTGGCTGCATCCTGTTTGTCCCATCCACACCTGAAACAAACTCCATTGCAAGCTCTTAAAAACATGTACAGTATTTTCCTTAATGATTTTTAGGTACATGTGTATCCTTTAGACAGCAATACAAAGTGATTGGAAATTGTTGCTTATTCTGATAGGCTAAGTACAGTGGCGTTAGATGCCCTGTTTGGTACTGTTCTTAATTGATTCTCCATAGCAGAAGCCTAGTAATCGCTGATCTGGAAACTTTTAAAGAAGCACCCCCAAAGAAAGTCTTTAATCCCATATGCAAAAATTATAGACATTATAATATGTTAGTGTTTATGGGAATATAATCCACCTACCTGTACACATAAGGGAAATATTAAAACTGAATTCTTGATACTTGGGTGCCCTTCTCAGCTTGTTGTCCACAGTTAGTGACCTCTGAATCAGATTACTGTTTTTAACAGTGCCCAGTTGATTTTTCATATGTCTTAAGATTTGAAAACATAGGTACAAAGAAATTGGTAGAAATCTCCCCATTTTACAAACATGAATTTCCTTACTTGATTATATAATGAATATACAGTTCTAAAATTATGGAAATTGAACTATACTAAATATTCAGTGTATGAGTATAGTTAAGCTTGCCCTGTATTTAATTTTTAAAATTGTTAAGTTACGGCATTACTATGAATAAATTTATGATACTAAAGTTATACATTACAATATCTGTGTAGGTTCATCCCTGTCCATTTATAACAATAATTTTGTCTTTATCATCCTAAAGGCCAGTGTTTGGCACAGTGCATAATAGAATGTATATTAAATAGCAAAATAGCATGTATTTATTAAATTATTAAGTATTTTTAGTTATTAATCTAAAATTATATACAACAATCCATAGTTTTGCTTATGGTTGATTCATTTTTTTTTTTTTACACAACAGAAAGTTTTTATGAAGAACATTTAAACTTACTATCTTTTAGAAATACACAATGAAAGGTCATTATGCATATTTAGATTGTGCCAGAAACTATATAAGAGCATAAGCAACCACAATCCAGTCATCCAGCAATATCACATGTAATTTCTTCTTTGTCCTGGATGCAGCTACAGTGGAGTCTGATGAAGAGCCTCATAGAAGAAAAGGCCTGCCTCTTTCTCGCCTTTGAAGGTGGGTGTGGTGGCACTGGCCTGTAATCCTAGAATTTGGGGGTGGGAATAGAAAGATTTTGAGTTTGAGGCTATCCTAGGCTCCATGAGACCACCAGCACCCCAAGTTAATTTTCATTTAGCCCAACTCAGGAGCAAATTTCAAGGCACCACATTTCAGTAGGAACTTTTTGAACATAAATTATACTCTCTCCTGTTTACTCGAACAAGATAGAACTATTTTCTTAAGATGAAAAATTGGCCCAGTAACAGAAAAAGGTCTGCATTCCATTAACAAAATTGTCAAAAATGCTCTGGCTATTCTGTCTCCTTTCCTGATAATCACAGGTATTATATAATACCATGCTGATGCTGTTTAGAAAGAGCTAGCTTTTAGATTTTCAGTATTATATCTGCACTTTTATTACAATTGTGACCAAGGCAGACAAAGAGGACCTATCTTTCTCTAGGGCACTGGATAACTATCAAGCACTGTTAAAAATCACCATTACTGTTAAATTAGGTCCATTTTCGGTGTAAATATGCTGGCATTGGGGGATGGATAGAGCAAATGGACTCCTAACTAGATGTTATTGGATTCTTTCTTCCTGCCCTGCCTGTCTTGAGCAAAAGAGCCAAAAAGCCCTACAAACTTCTTTTCTGTCAGCGTCAGCCAGATTGAACACTCCACAGAGGATTTGAGAACACTTTTGCAGCTGGCTTGCCCACCTCCTGGAGGTTCAACTTGGATGTCTGAACTGTTTATTTCAGACCTTTCACTTTTACAAACCTTAACAAACTCTAGACAATCGGGTAAAAGCCTGTAGGATAAGACAGGTCTGTCTAGAAATATTCAATTAAATTGTCATCCTTAGGACTGCAGTAATAACTGCAGAAGTAGATAAAACCAGCCAAGGAGAACATAGAGACTGAGAGGAGATTGGACTAACAATCTTTAGAGAGAAAATATAGCTCGGTTCCTAAGACTCCAAGTTTGTAATTTATTAGAAGCAATTAGATTAAAATCTACTGCCTCTCCTCTTCCTGGTCTAAGAGAAGCAATGAGAAGAAAAAGTACAAGATGATGACAAAATGTTCACAGTAGGTATATGACAGAGAAAAAATGAACCTCAGAAAATGGTGAAAAGTGTATATACTCTGTAAGCAATCTGATACTGTTTTATAAAAGTCACAGAAGGCAATGAATGTTCTCTAGATAAACTAGGACATTTAAGAAAGAGATGAGTTAAGACAAGGAGGGTTCTGTTGATAAACAAGGATGTTTAATAATGAAAAACTGACAATCAAGCCACCAGGAGTGTCATACTGCTTAACTTTTATCATCGCTCCGTGAAAGAATGCGGCATTCCCTTTCCCATTGCTGTCAATAAATGCTCTGACAGCAACTTAAGAGACAAGGGTTTATTTCGGTTCACAGATGAAGGGGCCAGTCCTCCATGGTAGGGAAAGCATGGTGGACGAAGCTGTGAGGTGGCAGCTGACCACATGGAGTCTGCAGAGTGTGATGGATGCTATTCTCACTTCTCATGCATTCCGGGGCTCCACCCCCCGCTGGGAATGGATCCCCCCACATTTAGTAGGAGTCTTTTCACCTCAATTAGCTTAATTTAGATAAGCCCTGCCACATGTGCCCAGGGGCTAACCTAACCAAGATAATCCCTGACAGACATTCGCCTAGGCTTGTCTCTGGAGATTCTAGAGTCTGTTGAGCTGACAGTATGAACCAGCACAGAAGTAAAGATCAGAGCACAGTAATGACAAAGCTACTTCTCTGTCACCATCACAAATGCACGAAGAAAAAAATCAACTTCAATGGAGCGAGATTTATTTTGCCTCATGTTCCCCGAGGTTTCAGCCATCAGTTGGTTCTGTTGCACTGGGCCTCAGGTGAAGCAGAAGCACCAAGAGTCGAGAATATGGGGCAAAGGCTGCTCACTTTCTGTTCAGGATGCGGGCAGAGACAGGAAGGGGCCAGCCACAAGTTCTATTTTGCAAGATATGTACCAGTTGATCTACTTCTTTCAGCCAGGCCCTAAGTCTCATTATGGCCATCATTGTAAATTCAACAAGCTGAGGCAGGGTAGAAAGACAGGGGGAATATTGGAGACTTGAGGAGAAGGGACTCCCCCTCACCCTAGAATCTAGCCAAAGCCTCTCCCAGCAAAGAAGCAAGAATTCCAGCATACTGTTATTAACAACTCCTAGCCAGCTGCTACTGGACTCTTCCTACCCTGCTTGCCTTGAACAAAAGGCCTTTCCCCCTTCCCAGATGGAGAAATTTGAATTTTCTCACAAACTCACTACCCAGTCCACTTACAAGGATAGGTCATATACTAAATACCTTGGGCAATGCTTCTGGTTTTCTCTTATCAGATTCTAATTCCACCTAAGCCACCTGCATAGCCAGCCTATAATCTCACTTATCTAAGGAGGAGAAGGAATGTGATTTCTTAGCTATCTTCTGAGATGTAATCTGAGAGCTACCTTAATAGTATATATGACTAATGTTGACAATTCCTAGCTAACTCTCCCTTGAGAAGCCCATACCGATGCTTAGGTACACACTTGGTGAGCCTGATGCTCTGCAACTCTTGTAGAAGCTCAGACTCATGCTTTTAGATATGTCTTACTTTCTTCCGAGAGTCTGGCTTGCTGTCAACTGTTTGCTTTTTAAAATTCAAACAGCTTTAATACAAATCTCCAGCACTGTTTTCTAAATTGGCTAGTCCTGATGTTCTTTTTAGTAGCAAAGCCAAGAAAACAAATCCAGCCTGAGCTGAGGTTCCTAAAAGCTTAGGGGAAGTCTTAGGCTTTCTAGGGTGGCAGTGTGGAGCTCTGTGTCTGTGTCCTCACTGCTGATGAAGAGATTAATCCATTGATTAGGTCAGAGCCCTCAGAAACCTATCATTCCCCCCAAACCCATCAACTGG